GCATTCTCGGCAATGAAGAATGTCCAGCCGAGTGTGGCCCATCGAATGCTTGGCTTCATTGGATTTGTCAATACAGTCAGCACCTAGCTTTTGTCCAATGGTTGCTGAAGTCGTGTAATGTGTAATATGATGTGGGAATCTGTGTTTGTGCGGTGGTCGTACAGTGTGGGCATAGCAGCTAAGAAAGTACTTCACAGTAAAGCTAAAAATGTCAAAAACTACAGTATAGGAACTGTACCGCAACTATTATAATACCGATCTCCTAGGAGTAACATGATGAACGGTCTCACGACAAGCCTGAAGGAATGGATTACGATAATGCGGTAGTCGTTGCCACCGTGCGGACAAAGCTGCATAGATCCATCCATGGTCCTATTTTACTCTACGGCGCTTCCTCGATTGGCCTTTGCTTTCACCTGCTGCTGCTGCTGCTGCTGCTGTGTCGCCATCATCTGCTGCCTTTTTTCGAAAGAGATAGAACGGGGCACCTTTCAACAAACGAAACGAGCGTTTCGATACGCTACCGATTTCGGCTGCTTCACGAGCTTGCTCCACAGAAATGTATTCACCTTTGGTAGTCTGGAAGTAATCTTCTAAATCAGCTGTATTCCATAGTCCATCCTTCCAGACTGCAATCAAGCGGAACAATTTTGCTGTCTTGTTGCTGCTCTCATCTTTGGCAACAAAGGCGGCACTAGCGTCAGCATGAGAATCGTTCACCAAAAAGTGACCGCCTGGTCGAATGTATCGGGAACATGGCTCTGAGACGATGCCTGCTGAGAGCGAAATCATCAAGTCATAACTTTCGTCCTCGAACTTGGCATTCTGTGCCATGGCAGCATAGGAGGTACATGTAAAGGTCCACTTGGGTCGTGCAATCGTCGTCGTCGTTGAGGATTGCTCCTGTGTCTCTGAGAGTATCCAGTCCTTGACTACCTCATCTTGGTAGACATTTGCGACTTTCTTGTCACAATCTACGTAGTCCATATTTGGAAAGCAGAGGGAAGCCGTAATATGGCGATGACATCCTGGATAGACCACACGTTTTGGAACATGGTGATCACCAACAATCTCTGAGAGGGAGCCAAATACTTGTTCGTGAATATCCTTTTGTCCTTTCTTCTGATAGGATCGTTTGTAGGCTGTGAGTCCGGGAGACTTGAAAGCAGAAGCGACGACCTGCGATTGCATAACCATGGAGATGATCTTTGTCATCAGGGTTTGGAAAGCATAGCTGCAACAACATTTGATTTGTGAAAAGTTTCAATCGTGCGTGAGTCATTCCATCGTCGACTAGTTCGACCAAGTCTTCTTGAACGTATCTTTGATCGGAATGGTTTTTGAGAGGTGGGAGAATAAAATAGGCGAAGGGGGATGAGGTGACAGGGCCTCCTGACAATAATTTATCATCAAATTTTCGTGCCCACCACAGCAAGATGAGATCGCTAACGTACCTTCTGTCATCGCTGTTCTTGCAACATGCATCTGCCTTTCAACATCACATTGTATCTTGCAAAGTACGAACCGTAGCGCAACAATCATTACCGACCAGTGGCGTTCAATACCTGCATCAGAGGAATAAGGTAGTAGCATTCCACAAAAATACGCCGGTGCCCTTGTTTGCTTCAGGGGGATCAGACGAAGAAGATCGTATAGGTGATGCCGCCGATGCTATTCAGAAGAAGGTAGATGAAACTAGCGATGCTTTTGAAGAGAAGGTAGATGAAACTGGTGATTCAATACAAAAGAAAGCAGATGAAACTCGCGATTCTTTTGACAAGAAAGTAGATGAAACTCGCGATTCTATTCAAAAGAAAGTTGATGAAACTAGTGACGCTATTGAAAAGAGAAGAGATGAAACTGATGATGCCATTGAAGAGAAACTAGAGGAATATGGCTATGTCAGTGAAAAGAAACTGAAAGGTCGCAAGAAGCGGGTGATTATGGGGTACAAAGCCATCATATCATCCTATGTGGCTCTGGCTGGATTTGTATTGACCAAAGGAGGAATCTCCAAGTTTCCTCTGTTTTTCACCTTTGGAAATCTTTCTCTGCCCATTGGAATTGCCTACATATTAAAGAAGGCGGCAGAGAATGATCGACTAGGCAGCGATACCTACAAGCGCCTCAATTTGGGATTGTTGCAATATGGTCTTCTGGGAGGTCTTACAGTCGGAATTGCTGCAACTACGCAACAAACGAATCCACTTGCATACCTCCCATTTGTCTTGTCCATGATAAACTCTATCAAAGGTTACGCTTATGGTGTTCTAGGATGGGACAAAAAGAGTTCAGACTCGAGCCTAATGCAAGATTTTGGTGGATTGATCAAGGCCACCAACCAAGCATTGATCACGAAACCAAAAACGGTTCAATCGGTATGCTATCTAGTGGCATCATTGCTCGTTGGAACTCTCAAGATTACTAAGGCGGTAGATATGGTCAAAATCATTCGAAATGGTGGTGGTTTGCCCAGTTTGTCACCGGTCCTGTCACAGTACAACCGATTGGCCTTCTTGACAATTGCCTTGGTCACTCTGAAAGATGCTTGTGATCGTGATAGATTATCAGGTACAACATTCATTCAAATAAACTACTTGGGAGGCTTGATTATGGCCGCCAACAGTGCCTTTATGGGGGGATTGACGACTAGATTGGGGGCAACCGCAGCTTTGCTATCTTTGTTTCTGACTCTGAGTGGTTTGTCATCGTACTTGGAACGCAACAAAGCATAGGTTCGTTGCAATTTGATGATTGACTTTCAATCAGAAAAAAGGGGTGAGGGGATGTGGCATTGATGATTTGTTGGTTGATGAGGAAATGAGGAAACTTCCGACAAGCACCATATTGATTTCACAGGTGAATTTTTGTATAATATAATGTCGTACATATGATAATGCTTCTTTAGATTCAACAGAGTACTTCGTCCTCTTTTCTCATGGAACATCATTATCCTTGGCTCCTTTGGTTCTGGGAGCCATTGATGCGGTACTGGGTAGTGAATCATCTTTGGAACAGTGTATTTGTAAAACATTAGTACACCTACTATTGCAATTGCAAGCAGGCAAGGTTTGGCATGCGTTTAGTTACGGGAGTCGTTCCCTTCCCTCGCAAATTCCCAAGAGTGGATGTCTATTTGAACGTTGTTTCGACTCAGATACGACTGGAGGGCGCTCGAACGGAGCAATTTTGAAAGCGTGTCGGACAAGAGAAAGCAAAAAAATATGGCGAGGGAACTTTCTTTTGATATAATCTTATGCAGCCAAATAATGTGAATAGTTAAGTAAAACTCAATCAAAATCGCAATGTTCCTAATAATCTTCACTGCTGTACGCAACCGACACGCAATCGTAATTTCACGCAAACCGAACCTCAACCTGGGACTCTTTTTTTCCCCCTTCTGAAACCCGCTTGAAGCTTGGAGGGAAAGACTTCGATTCTTGTAATAAGACAAGACTGGAAGAAGAGGTCTAGCTCCTTTGGCGCCAATTGAGAAGAGTAGGTAGTATAAAAAGAATGAAAAGTAGTTCAATGGCATGCAATTGAATTCAAGGAGTCAAATGAGGAATTCCCAAACTACACACTACATTTGTAATGATAATTTCAAGATGAATAATAATTTACAACCCTTTAACGCTATAGGCTCTTAGCAAGCCAGTCTAGCACTCACTCCAAAATGACAACTTCCCCCACACCAGACTTGACGACGATAATTCATTCAGTCAGTCCCAAACTTATGACAATCATGATATGACAAGACATAGAGATTCATTCCCCACTTTAGTATCGTGCTCGTCTCTTGGCAATCTTGGGTGCCTTGGGATTAACCACGGTGGAAGTCGAAGGAGATGCTACTAGTTTTGATCCTCTGTTCGTTGTTGGGGCCTTGGCACCTCCTTTCTTTCCAGATCCCTTGACCTTGGGCGCTTTGGCACCTGGGGTCACTGGTACTGCTGGAACGACAGGTGCTGCTACAGGCACGGTAACAGGTACTGTTACTGTTACAGGTACGGAAACTGGCACGGTAACAGGTACTTGGGCGACTGGTACTGCTACTGGCACTGCTATTGGTGCTGATACGGGTATGGCTGTTATATTGAATTGAATTTGGCAAGCAACAGCAGAACACAGTTAGTACATGAAGAATGCAGTAAGAGTATGTGGATAATCCAGCATAGGGGCAAACATACCTGTTCCAAATCGTTGACATGTCACCCCTGCCATGGTATTTGTGCGACCAATGGTACCACTTCCACTGTTGGAAGATACAGCATTGTTAAAGAAGACTGTAGGCTGGCTACCTTCACTGTAGAGACAGTAGCATTCACCATCGTAATCAAGTCCAACCAATCCAGAGGTTCCTGCAGCGGTACAAGCATTTTGACAGGTGCCAAGCGTTTGACTCCCACGAGCATTGAAAGGAACACCATAGGAATAGAAATTTGCTCGAGAGTCGACACATCCTCCAACACCACGGTTTGTGTAGCTGCCTCCAGAGAACGAGTAGCATGTAAAGGTAGCAAAGGTGGAATTGGCACCAGCAACTGCTCCACCACCAGGTTCCACTCCACCTTCGGCAAAGGCATTCGCAGGAACACCAGCACCATTCTCGTACAGACACAAGCATCCTCGTGTGGTTGATTCGTACTCTAACCCACGGAGGTTGGTGGTGTCTATCGAGCTACAAGTGGTTTGACAGGCAGCGGTGGAGGCAACACCTGCTCGTTCCACATAATCGAATTGTGATCCAGATCCATCCACACAGACTCCATTTCCTACATCAGTGAACTGACCAATAGTTGAAGTCGCCACAAGGGCCAGGCAGAGAGCCAATAGGAGAGATTTAGCAGAAGACAACATGGTTGATATTGTTGGTGACAGTAATGATGATGATTGTGACAGTAGACAGTGGTAGGCGGGTCGCAATTTCGTAAGATCGGATTTTAGGTCGAGTATGTGGTTCTGAGGTTTCGTGAATTTTTGGTGGCACAACGGAAATTCAAATCTCTAAACGACTCACCAAAAATCATTTTGAAAACTGCGAAAGATTTTCATTTAGAGCCTGATCACATTGGACCCATTCGACTCGTGAGCTGAAAGGTTCACAGCTAATATATTTTAAAATAATATAAGACTTACCTACCACCTATCCGCTACCGGTACAGGTGAAAGTGAGAGATGCATTCATTCATGTGCATTATTCATTTCTTGTAATTTGAAATGTTTTAATCCTAGGTCTTGAACTTTTTGTTTTCAATATACAGCAAATGATATTGGAACTTGTTCTTGCTGTCGTTCTTCGCTCCTCTCCTTCCTTGAGGTGCCGATACCATACCCACGAGTATTTTTTAAAAAGTGATTGAGCAATAGCATTGTATATCTATGATAACTATGATAATAAGTCAGCATAGCATTTGGGACAAACGGATTTCTCGCGATACAATAGGTGCAGTAGTAATACTCGTCCGCACCATCGCTGGTTCCATATGACTTGTCGTACGACACAACAACAAGTCAACATTCTTGGTGACTTCATAGTAATAAATCTAATGTCTTCTTCGCTTGGCATCCTTGACGGATGAGGCAGATCCGGCGGAAAGCTTGGTTCCTCGGTTGTCCAGAGTGGGTGCCTTGCCAGTGGATTTGACTTTGGGAGCCTTTCCAGCCACGGCACCAACGGCTGGACCGACTGGAGCAGCAATGGTAACAGCGCGATCGCCAGCAGTCAATACAGGATCAGTTGGTGGTGCAGTAGAGGGTGGAGTGGGGGCTGGTGTGGGGGCTGGTGTGGGGGCAGGAGTGACTGATCCAGAGAAAAGACGAGAGAAACACAAAATGTCAGAGTCCGCATACTTCGTGACGAGCCGTGTGATTCGATGTAGTCTCGTTAGTTGCATAATAGTACTTACGGATTTCAAAGCTTTGACAAGTCACACCTGCAAAAGTAGATGTGCCAGCAACTTTTCCGGTTCCACCATTGTTGGAAACACTGGTGGTAGATGCGATGGTTGGTACACTTTCGGCACTGTACAGACAGTAGCACTCTCCATTGTAATCAAGGCCGACCAATCCACTGGTACCAGAGGCAGTACAGGCACTTTGGCAGGTGGCTACAGTTTGGGTACCTTGGGCGTTGAAGGGAACAGCAAAGGAAAAGAATTCGCTGCTCCTGTCGACGCAACCTCCAGTTCCGACAAGAGAGTAGGCGCCTCCTCCTGAGTATGCAAAGCATTGGAAGGAAGAGAAGGTGGAATTAGCACCAGCGACGGCTCCTAGACCAGCATCTTCTCCAACTTCCGAAAAGGCATTGGCAGGAAAACCGGCACCATTCTCATACAAGCACAAACATCCTTGGGAAGAGGCTTCGTATTCGATTCCGCGGAGGTTGGTTCCGTCAAGAGAGGTGCATCTGGACTGGCACCCTGCAACAGAAGTGATACCAGTAGTTTCAAGGTAATCGTATTGGGATCCGATGGCATCAATGCAAACTCCCTCTCCCTTTTCAACAAAGACGCCTTGTGCGTCCGTTGATGATACAGAGAAAAGGGCCAAGCAAAGAGTGACTAGGAGAGAAGTATTTCGAGCGAACATGATGGTGCGTTTTGATCAATCTTGTTGTGACAGGATCAGTTTTGTGAGGTTGATGGGAGAAGAATCAATTAGAAAACTCCCAGACTTTGTTGCACCGGTATTGTAAACACTCATCACCTTTTTCTGTCGGAGGCATATATCCTAGCAACGGTCTCCGAAGAATCCCGTTGACGATATTTCGGATACTTCTACTGCGTTTGGCTAGAGATACCGTTTTCTCTATTTCTAAGTATTCTTTCAACTCGTTAAGTAAAATTTTGAATTTATGTCGCACCGAGGAAAAAACGGTGTTTGTCGGTATTTTTCGCGCATGTCGAGCCTCAAACTAACGGTGTATCTTCCATACAGTCGACCGATTGATTCGAACCACCAAACATCACACATCAACTAAAATGGAAAAGGGTTGCAGACTATCACCACTACCTGTACAGTGCAATAGCAGTGCAAGTAGCAGATCATTTCAATTGGAGGACAAACTTCTTCGATGGGAGTAACTGGAGTAGCCATGATATTTTAACTGCGGCTATTTCAATCAGGTCCTGCACTAAAGCAAAACGTCCAAGTTGAACCTTTTGACCAGAAGCTACAAGTAGCCAAAGATCATGTACAGGTACAGAGCTCAAAGCTCGTCCATTTCTTTTTTCAATTTTTCCGCTTTACCGACTGCTCCCCATTCCCTATAATACCGAATTGCTTCTGTCATGTGATACTTGGCATCATCGACATCGCTGCGCAACAGTCTGTAGTCAGCATATCTTTCGTTGGAAAGAGCTGCATGGTGCAAGTGGCCTGTTCGAGCAGTATAAACAATTGCTTCCTTATACAGCTCATCTGCCCTATTATATTGCTTGTCAAGTACTGCCTGTTCCGCATTCAAAATCATGTCGTAGTGCTTTACGTTTGGGTTTCCATCATTCGACCACTTCTTAACTTGTTTTCGTATTTTCTTTGCTCGAGACTTGAATTTTCGCGATTTGGTTCGTCGAGCCATGGCATAGAGCGCGATTCCTCTGTGGAAAGTTTCCATTGGAATCAAAAATATACCCGTCAGACATCCCGAATAGTAGTCTCCCTTGGAAATAGCGCGGTTCGCAAGTTCTTTGTAATTGCCATGAAAGACCATCAGCTCGCCTTGTGCAAGATGAAGAGTGCCCATATGTGAAGCACTTTCTGTCCCATCTTCGCCCTCTCGAAAAAAATAATGGATTCCATTAAGTTTCTCGGGTTCTTCCCCTGGAGGCAACTGTAAATTCACAATCATCTGAAACATAACCCGAAGGACCAATAAATGATCTTTGAGCTTTGCCTCTTCCAACTGCAACAAAACTTTCGGACAGTCCCCCAGTATCGGGGCAAGCGGAGATCCCATTGCATACGGAAAAAATACAAAATGAGCAATGAGATTCCACATTGAACACTCGTTGTCGCCAGATCTCAGACCTTGGAAAAAGGCAGAAGAATGAGAGAATACAATTTAGTGGTATCATAAAAAATCTTGCGAAATCAGCTGACCTTGAGTGTATCCATCCAAAGTCGGCGTCAGACAAGCATGTAGAGGTCTGACCCAAGAAAGTGCATGACCATACAAGATGTATGTGGTGTCAGCAAAACGGCTACCCCCATACTTTGCCTGCAAGGAGAATGCAATTTCACTGAACTCCACCATGGTTTCTTGGTCATTTTGCAAAAAAAGTACTAAAGTTGCGAGTGACGCAATACTCGCTCCCGAAAATTCGCTGATACCATGTGCAAGGGTCAACTGGGGCAGCACGGGGAACGGTGATTGTGAGGGAGTATGTTATAAGAGTACAATGTGGATATCGCAGGCATCGATTCAGTAGTAGGATGGGTTTGGCAAAAGAGGTTACTCACTTCAACCAACCGACACGTGCAAAGAATATTTAAGAGCATCCTCTTTGCATGGAATGCAGAATACTGTACTCTTGAAACTAGAGTCACAATTGCCTGCTGCTTCGGATCTTTCATCTTCTGAAGACTGTCAAAATGCTCTAGTGGTAGCTTTTTGAAACTCTTTATCGTCTGCATCGCCAGCTTGATCGCTTGGATACCCACAAGATGTTGAGACCATACGAGCTTGTAGTCCATCTCTTTCAATAGTTCAAGACAAATGTCGATTGCGTCATTGAAGCGCATTTGCGTGGTTGCTCGCAACTTCGCGGAAATCATCTTAACTGGCACTACTTCCATTCGAGTACATTCCTTTTGCGCTAGTACAGCTGTCACATATTCTTCCACTTTGTCAACATGCCCAACAGCCAACTCCATTTCTGATCCTAGCGTGTACAAGTCCAAAGTCAGTTCACGATGTTCTTCAGTCCACGGATCACTCGGAAGTAGCTTGATGCCGTTCAAACAGTAGTTCGCTGCCGATTGGAATGCTGATATCCTTCGAGCCTTCTTTGCTGCACGTAGATTGAGTCTGGCTAGTTCGACTTTGTTGGTGGCGTTACCTTGATTGATCAGATCCACGACATCAAATAACTGTTCTTCCAAATCCGTTGGATCCAGGCCACGATACAGGCAAAGGCCCAGACCAAATTGAAAAGAGGGATTGACCAAATCGGAAAGGTACAAAGCTGCTTCTTGGACTTTGTCGTGAACAAATCGTAGTTCATCCGAACCACACGTCTCAATCAGCTTTGCATCCTGCACTACTCTCAGCATTTGGGAAAAATTCGATTGAGCACTGTCAATCATCGCTATGCTTGCGTGATCCTCCCAAAGAAACTTGAGGGTTGCCAAGAAAAATGACGCTCCAAGACAAGCCGCATACTGCAATAATAATTGCGCATTATCAGGAAGCTTGCGCATTCGTGCTTGCAGAAGACTTACAACGTTGGCAGTCGACATGGTCGCGTCTTCAATCTTTGCAACATCAAATCCCCACTTAAGGAGACCCAGATTGTATGCAACTAAGCCTTCGGCTTGTAGCATGGCCATGAATTCTATCACAAAGAAAGGATTACCATGGGTTCGCTTGAAACATACTTCTGCCAGCTCTCGAGTCTTGCTTTCATCATCAAGGGACATCATCGACATTATCATCTCGTTGACAGCATTTACATCACAGCTGTTTACTTCAATATCTGTGATTCGAAATGAGAACTGGTCACATTTGCTTTGCAAAGTTTGGATGCGATGGAAGAGGATCGTATTCTCAGTAACTTCGTCCGATCGATAGCATCCAATAATCATCAGTGGATGGGTATTGTGCACGTCAGATATCAAATACTCAAGCACATCCAACGATGACACGTCCGCCCATTGTAGGTCATCCCACATGAGCACCAAAGGATGAAAGTAAGACCCCAATATTCGAGTAAGAGTTCTAAAGGCATACTTCCACCGCTCTTGTCCTCGTTCGGTTTCCATGTTGTCAACACTTGTCTTTTCGGTTGCTTGATCATCCATCAGGACATTCAGCTCTGGTATCAGTCGTACTAACATCTTGGCTTCTTCCATTAATAGTTCGGTGACAGCCTTGGACATTTTCGCTATAGCGTCTTCAGGAGAATCATGAATCTTGGCACACAGTTTCCCAAAAGCCTGGGCGATCCCCGAATATGGCTGATCCATAGCAGTGAACTCGTATTTCCCTTCCACGTAAACACCATTTGGCGTAGCTTCAATGAACGACGACATCGTCCTCGCCAACTTTGATTTGCCAGCTCCACTAAATCCTCGAATAAAGACGAGTTCATTCTTCGACTCAGGTTTTGTATCGGTTTCAGTATCATCATTGTCTTCCTGCAACAAAAGTCTGGCATAACATAATTTCAGTGTCTCTATTTCTTGCTTTCTTCCGATGAGGCCCATCGATTTGAAGTCAAGCTTATTGATGGTCAGTTCTTCCATTGCTTGCTGACTCTCTACACTTCGTTGTCGCTTCTTCCGTAGTATGCTCAACTCTCCTTTTCGACCATCTGACCGCAAGGAAGATAATGACAACACAGATTTATCATTGGATAGCTTGGAAACGCTTCCTGAATGGACGCTGAAAGCACCACTTCCACTTGAGGTAGTAAATATACCACTTCCACCATCTAGTGGCAAATCATCAAAGGAAACACTTCGTCGGCTTTGTTGTTTGGCACTATTAAGACTACCATTCGTTCCTAGACTCTTGTTCGTTAAGGTATCTTGATCCCCGAGCGAAGAGTCATACTGATTGGTATTTTGAGTGCTATCGTCATTCTTCTGTGATATGCTACCGGTATTGGACATGCTTGTCTTTCCTAGGTGAAGCTATACTATAGGCTTCAGTTGGCAGTCGGCAGTTGGTTGCAGTTGACATTTGTGAGGTTCCGGTGACAGTGCGTGACGTTGGCGTTTGGCATGTCATATTTGTCTTGGTGGGAAAGCAGTCTTTGACTAGTTAGACTGTAGTTGGACGTTTCATTTGTTATTCCCGAGCATACTATATTCCAAGCGAATGAATCAATCAATCGCAACATCCCTATCTATACCGGTAGGTATAGTTGCCAATTTACAATATTATCTCAAAGAATTTTCAGAGCAGTATTTGATGCTAACGAATTCGTCAACGATTGTAACATTATTGTCGACAAAATGATTCTCAGTCTCCTCTCATACTCTTGGCAGAATGCACCAAGTTTACAAACCCACGTCGGTACTGGTTGGGATCATTTCCAAGATTGCTTTCTGCCAAGGTAATCACATCTGACCATGACCAATGGTGTTGTTGTCTTGTTCCATTATCCGTGGGGTCTTCCACAAGACCTGAAGCAAGGCTATTCGGTTGTCTTCCTCCATGAATGTTGCCTTTCAACAGCTCTGAGAATCCAGCTACGGCTACTGCAAAGCGGAACCCTTGGGCAATTGTTGCAGCGCGCCCCCCTCGTCGTAGCAATAGTTCCAGATTGGCCGTATCGGTGATTGGCCTCGTCATCAGCTCGGACGTCGCATTTTCAAGAAGGCATATTCGTTATCTAAAGGTGCCTTTTCTGTGGGCTGTGGTGATTTCTTGTGATTGCCAACAGCACCATTTGCAATTCCATACCATAAATCATCCACAACAGACGCCGTCAAGTCCGCTTCGACGGGATTAAACTCATGCAAGACCGTTACCGTATGTCCAGCCCCGATATCTCCCGCATCCGCAGAATCATTATGAAAGTCTTCTCGAGCCAGTAATCGCTTTTCATATCCAATCAATCGATATTCCGCAACGCGATTGGGATTGAATTCGACTTGGAATTTAACATCTTTGGCAATCGTATACAAAGTAGATTGAGCTTCTTGTACGAGTGCCTTCTGAGCCTCCTTTATGATGTCAATGTACACGGCAACATCATTCCCATGGTTCGCCAATGCCTTCATTGTTCCATCCTTGTATTGTCCTTACGGATAAAAAAATACCCGCGGACCGCTTCTCCGAAATGTATCGACTCAGTGCATTTCCTTGCGTCAAACCAATATTGAAATCTCCGTCGGTAAAAAGCATAATGCGATTGACAGCCTTTTCTTCAAAATGCCATCCAGCAAGCCTGTCGGCCAATTCCAGCCCATCTGACCCATGCGTGGAACCAGATGCCCGCAGCGACTTGATCACTCCGAAGATGGTTTTCCTGTTGAGCCTCAGGTGTTGGCTGAAGAGCAATTCTGGGCACCCAGGAATAGGTGACGATGGATACATGGTCCTCTGGCTATAAGACCCCGAGGAGAAGCTCTAGCGATTCCTTTACCATGGGCAAACAGTGGGGAGATGACATTGAACCTGAAACATGAATCAAGAATACCAAGTTACTCTTGGGTCGAGGTTCGTCCACAACCTTGGTATGGTCGTAACCCTTGATACCAATTGACATGATCCGTCGCCCGAAAGACCAGGGTGAGTTGGATATCATAACAGCGGCTTCCAGTGGACTAGACTTGTTTTGGGGACTCGGATAGTCGTAGTCGAAATAATTGATGAGTTAAAAAATAGAACTCGAAAAAATTGAAAAGGATTTGGGATTCTGGAAGCAGCTACTGTATGAGGGCCATTACGCTCTCTGTTGCTTTCATGACAGACTGAAGGTAGCCTTCATCATTTTTGTAAGATAACAGTGACGCTCTTTGTCTGATTTGGTATATACTCGTGCTCTGTTAGCGTGGCACGCTTCAATCAAAGAACCATGACGATGCTCTTATTTTATTGTGATCTATCTTTTGCCGATTCTTGAAAAAGAGCTAAATAACACCCTTGTTGGATCGATTTGAATGAATCTGAGCTGGCACCTATACTCTTGCTGGCACCGTACTTTATTGTGAGGACAAGTGAATATTAGCTTCACCCATCTACCATAGTCTTGCTTGGGTCCATGCCATCGTATGTATAATCACCATTGCAGCTTGTAGTTTCTTCTGTAGCACTGACGTAGTACAATGAGCCAGTGGATACCATCATCACCTTTCAATATCTACAATGGTGGTCTTGATCAGGAGGTTCGTGGATGCTCTCTTCAGTCGTCTACCATCGTGGTCTTGGTTGGGTTGTTGTAATTTCTTTTATGTGCGGTGTTCGCCATTAGATTTTGTCGATGCCGTGTATTCCAAACGAACGTCGTATAATTCCTTGACACTGTCGCTTATTTGATACAAGCCACGGAACGGATGCTCCAAATCGTAGCATACTAGTCCAAGTGCCGAAAAGGTTCCCACGAGCATGGTCCACAATATTCGAAGTTGAATCGCGTTTAGAAATACCAGAATATCCTGATCCGTCTCCATCAAGAATGCAAAGCAGATGCTGAGTGCCAAGGTCGTCAGAAGGACGTAATGCAACATTGGGAAGGTCGACTGTAGGGCCCCGATCCGGGTGGATCTATTTTGACTGAGCGATTCGACCGCTGCCATCGCTTGATCAACCAACATTGCGCAATACCCGCTTGATCCAGGAGCAGCCGCAGCCTTGTTCAGTTCTTTCATGCATGCATTCAGTTCGCTGTCCATTTTAATGTCCGACAGACCGATATTCACAGTCTCATGGCATTCGGATATTAACCGTGATGTATATTGTAAAAGATAGAATTCACACTTTTCTTGTGTCTCATTTGTCAAGGGAAAGTCGGACAGGAGATTCCGCAGCATAATGAGCTTGGATGCTTCCATGGTTATGCACATCCGAATATCATTAGTCCGTTTCCACAGCTTGGAGATTGTCAGACCAATTTGAATCGCAAACATCAATGCAATAGCTTTGTATGGATGGATGGATGGATGGATGGATGGATGGAGGTGAGTGTGAAATTGAGAATGCTGTTCTTCATTCTTCGTGCGATAATCATGATACACATTTCATTCAACTTACATGGGATAATCACTCCATTGATGACAGGTGCAATGATCATGGCTTGGTAGGATCCACCGTCTACTGCTACCCAGTTGCTCGACTTCAAGAATTCTATCGTTGCAGCAAATGCGATTGCTGTGGGATCGTACAAGCTGTAGGCTACGAGCGGCATAAAGAATGGAGCCAATTGGAGGGCCTTGTCCATGATCAACTCCATTTGAGAAGCGTCTTCATCGTATGTCAAATAGGACAAGTTTGCCAATTCATTGGCTTTGGATGAAACATTATTGCAGGATGATTCACTTGGACTGACAATGTTGTTGTCTCGAGCAGCAGTTTCCGACACCAATAAACTCTTTGGTCCAAGAATAGAAATAGATTCGGTGTCTCCTTCCATCCATTTCGTATCAGAAGTCTCTCCTTTCTCGCCTACTTCATTGTATAGATGAAAGGATGCATCAACATCAACATCAACTTCATCGTCCAATGTACTCATCAATAGACCGGTATTGTGCGAGAGGAATCGATCTTTCTTGTAGGTTGAAGAGTATCTTGAACAATCCATGAAACGACATTTTTGGTTGCAAATTAAATCATCATCATCAGCAGTTGATGCAGACAAAGTTCTTGCCAAAGAAGACGGCTGAAGAGTGAAAGCATCTATCTGCTGAAGGAGTAAGATTATTGCTGAAGCGAAGACATTATGTTGTAGTGTACGCAGAGGGCTATTCTTTTGCATCATATCCTTTAATATCATAGAATCGCGTTGTTATTGCAATTTCTAAGAATTTTTTCAAAAATGCGCGCATCTGTCAACGGAATGAAAATAATGCCACGCACAAATAAACTTTTAGTTGGAGTTGTGATTGCGCGGACTTCACCCGCGACATTTGAATACAATAGATTTATCCCGTCTTGGATATCACCCGCACATGGAACCCGTCTCATCGTCCTGGAACGTCATCGACTCCATCACCGCAATGTACTGTCGTACTATTGTGTGTTGTGTGGCATGAGGAGATGACACTACTAGTACTGCCAAGACATCGTTCGGCCATTTTCTGTAGTTTTCTATTCGTTTTGTCTTCCTTATCAAGTGCCGTGACTGCATTATCCCTTCCATCGACATTCTTGGTGGAGGCTGCTCCTTGTTGTTTGGATCGTCGCACCGCCATTTTGGAATCCTCCTCTTCCCTACTAGCAGCAACAGCACTACTGGCATTAGACGATCCAACGACGTCTACAGAATCCAGTAATAATAATAATTTTAATAAGCTTCCTCTTGAAGTCGTCAACGATCCTGACTCCTACTCGGCTCTAGCCTATGGTGGTGGTTCTACCAATGATGATGATGCCAAGATGAGGAATGGTGCAGCTAACAATAATAACAATAAGAGACCACCACCACCATTGATCTTGGTCCTGCATGGTGCCGGCAAGAACGATTTGGATATTTTGTCAGATTTGGGAGACCCTCGAGGGGAACATGCGGGCCTCATTCCCAGTTTGATTGCATCCGGACAAGCTCCATCGATGCTACTGAATAATTTCGCAATCTTGGCTCCTTATTCGCAAGGAAAGGTCAGCTTGTATCAAGACTCTCGATCCAAAGTCTTGCAATTTGTGGATTGGGCCATTCAGAATCAAGGTACTAGCAAATGTCCCATTAGGTTTGATCCCAAACGCATTATACTCTTTGGATTTTCCGATGGTGCCACGGTGGCTGTGGAACTCCTGACCACATCTCGGTTTGCAGGTGGAGTCATTTGCAGTTATGGGTACAATGGCCCATCCTTGCCCAGCCGGGCACTGGAACGATTGACGAACAAACCCCTATGGGTCTTTCATTCGGCGGACGATGTCATTTTTGATGTGACCAATAGTGATCGATTGGTGGAACAACTGCGTGCTGTCAATAATCATTCAAGAGGCAGCGATAGTACTACTGCTAGCATCATCAAGTACTCCCGATATGATAGGGACCCCGAAAACTTGCCTCCTCGAGTGCGAGGTCACAGCATGGGAATCACTGCATCCAAGCAGGTTGAAGTATACGATTGGATGCTACAGTTGCCACCCATTGCCTAAACAAACAAAGTACGAGTCTATATTATACAAATCTAAAGAATTATCATGTGAGATTATTGAGGATCTCCTCCTTCCTCAGAACCAGCAGTGATCTCTAGAGAATTCAGAAAAATTGACATTGCGATGCACAAGGATTTTATCTGGGTGACAATGTCGTCACATTGTCAGGGTACCCACGCAATGCAGCTGCCTTGAATGTTCGCGCGAAAAAGTGATATAAAATACATGTAGTCTAGTTATTATTATACAATGATGGAATCCAGTCCAATTAGAGTTGAAACTTCAACCCTGATTTCCCAATTCGTTCGTTGGTTCGTTCGTTTCAATTGTTTGTTTGTTTGTTCGTTCGTTCGTTGACCATATAGCATTATTATCATTTGCGCAGATGATACGCAATCACATCCTTACCGTCATGCCATTACTGTTTCTTTGCCTTGATGCTGTTTTTGGACAACGACGACGATGATGACGACGAAGACTCCTCTCCGCTGTTGTTGGCAATCGCCGACAGGAGCATCATCCAAAAGAAGGAGACCGAGGCACAAAAGGTGACGCGAAAGCGATCTGGAACCACTCCAAATGCAAAGAACATGACTGGGACCCAAACCACATAGTACTTGAGCAATAACTTTTGTTTGATGACATCGTCAACATATTTTCTAACAGCCCCACCGATGGGATTCCCAAAGACAAATGCCTTGCTGATATAGGCAGATGGGAGTGTCAAACAGGGAGACTGAAAGAACATGTCAAAGGAAACTTTCCGAAGAACGGACAGAACGTCCTGACCAGGACCAAACAATCTGGGGTAAATGTGATTGTAACTATATTCCAGGACCAGGCCTTGATAGAGAGCCCCGTAAATCAAAAAGGCCGCAGATCGTTTCAAATCAATCTTCTGGACAAGCTTGGTAACGAGCGATCCGTCCCGATTCATTTTCACGACCATGTCGTCGCCATTTTCCCGGTTCTTCTTGAATTGATGCTTTTGTGCGACAAAGTCGGCGCACACACCCTTCATGCCGCAGACCATGGCGGCGGCTGCATAGGGAGACGTCCTGAAAAAGGCATCCACGCCGCCAAAGGATTGGACGGGCAAGGCGAGGAGGGAACACAGAAGTGCGATTCGACAAAGGAAGAACTTCATTTTTTAATTCAAAATATGATGATCGTTTGTTCTTTTGTTTCAGGAGGAGAAGAATCTGATTATGCTGTTCTTCAGAACTCTTGAGAATACCTTTTGCTGCTTACTTGCTTGCTGTCAGGTACGATGGAACTTGTCTATGTGACAAGATCGGAAGTGAAAGAGTTGGGGGTGGTGGTGGTGAAAGATGATCAGAATGGGTGCAAATCAAAATTGGATTTTGATCTGAAATGCGGTCGGTTGTTCTTCCACCCCTCGACTGTCAAAAAAGAAAACGATTGAAGTGAAAACACGTCAAGCGGGCGCAGATGATTCTTCGTCAAATTGGGGAAGATTCAAATTCTATTGGCCGATACGTTGAAAACCATGCTGATGTCGACAATTTTGATCCATCATGTCACCTTAAGTGTGCATACGTACGTGTGTGGAGAGTTAACGCATCTGCCAATCCCCAAGTGATGTCACCGTTGAAGTTGAAGTGCTATAAAGTAGCATACGGAATTAGGAATATCAAAAGGAATGTGTTTCGATAAATAAGGAACTTCTAGAGTTCTGGACGGAAGTTGCTGTTCTTTCGAACTTATTGGGCTACCTATGTACCAGTACAACAACAATAGGTATCTTATATATATTCGGTCGAATTCCTGCTTGTTACTCACAATGTTCTTTCGAACTTTGGTTTGCTTCGGTCTTCGGTATCTGTATCTTCTATCAAATAAATACGGGCATGCTTATTCACTCAGACACTGTAGTTCTGCCAACCACAGTACAGTATGCAAAGAAGCTGGGATTAGGTCAATCATTCATCAGACTCCTTCAACAACAACATGATCATGTGCTCAAGCGTCGACCAAGACAAAGTCCTCCTCTTCCGTTGAAGATGATGGAACATGATCTGTGGTCTCAATAACTTCTTGAGCCTTGTTGTTTGTCGTCTCCACCTGAGGCACTACTTCTACTACTACTTCTTCTTGCTGCTTCTGCTTCTGCTTTTGGTGGGAGGCTGCCGCAATCTGACCCACCAATCCATCAAACTTGGTCAGGTCAGGGCGACTGTCATCAATAATGACCACCTTGTTGGGTTCAATTCCATGTTGCTCCAAAGAGCGTTGGAATTGGGGACTTCCCGTGCCCACACGGACCACCACCAAGACCACATTGGGATTCACTTCGTTGCGGTAGGCTGCCAACAAGTCGGCAAAGTAATAGCCATTCTGTTTGGTATTTTCATACTCGTCCGTCACCAGGACAATGGTGTCCACGACCTTGTTTTGGTCAAAGTATGGCCACAAGCAAGCGGCAAGGTTGGTGCAACCGGATGCTTGGATGGTTTGACACACTTTCAAGGTCGCGGTGACAGAGGATGGCTTGAGATGAGGTGACTTTACCAAGCCACTGGCAAAAAAGCTTAGTTCTCCATCCAAGGTTGTGGAGATGATACTGGCAATAATGGCCGCAGCTTCAATGGCAGTCTGCATGGAAGAAGAGGCATCTCCAAAGACGGCCACTGCCTTTTTGGTATGACAATCGCCAGCACCACCATACTTTTCCTTCAAGAGGCCCAGCTTCATGGCTGCGACACCCAGAAGCAAGGTTGCCAACTTGGTTTGACCAAGCTTTTGAAACGTCAAGAGACGTTCCAATAGCTTACCAAAGGTAAACACCTTACTTTCGTTGTGACGGATTTGAGACAGCAGGTCGTTTTGCCCCAAACGGCGGGTCAATATGGTAGAGACTTGTAGGGGCGAGACGCTGTAAAGTTCTTCAAAGTACCAAATGGCAGTCTCCACTGGAATGTGCGCTGCCAACAGTTCCACTACTTCCCTGGAGCGCACCAAACGGTTCTGGTTGCGCAAAAAGGCATACGACTTGTAGATTTGCGGAAACTCGGCTGCTACCTCTTGAAAGTTCGTGACAAGCTCGTCGTCGTCCGAAGATTCCATGAGTTTGCGCATCCAACAGACAAAGCTGTCCTTTGGAATGGATTCGTCAAAGATATCCGCCAGGAAATAGTCGACACTAAAATCACTGGGCTTGAAATGGACCAAGTCTGCCACGTATCGCCAGACGGTCTTCTTTGGCATTTCCAACATGACAAACTCGAGGTAGTCTGCCTTTTGGGTGGGTGCCCACAGGGTACGAATCTTTCGGGCTAGAGAACCAGAGACCGAGGCAGATTCGATCAGTTCAGTAACTGACGAATCCACATTCTGCTTCTTGTTGTTATTGGAAACCACCCGATTGCCCTCCAAAAAGTCACCCTGGAGCTTCTTGAGCTGAATGCGAAGGTCATCAATCTTGCGCGGTCGGCGGCGACGCTTCTTCTCAGGAGCGTCTTCCTTGCTCTCAGGTTTCTTCTTGCGCTTGGAGGAGGAGAAAGAGTTGGATTCGGCCATGCCATTCTCCTCATTGTTATCTTCCACACAAAGTAAATGTGGATGCTGGCGTTCAATCTTCTGTATCTTCTTGGTCAACTGCTTGAGTTGTCGGGGTGCGTCCAAGTAGGTTAGCATCTTGTACAAAGATGCAATATCCCAGTACTTGATGGTGGAATTCAGAGCCTTGTGCTTTCCAGTCAGATGCAGGGCAGCAAAACAGGTACCCTTGACTGGCGTGGACAAGGACTCCATACTCGTCGTTAGTTCCTTCATGTAGGCAGTTTCATCTTGCTTTACCGCATGGACGTGCGTCCATAAATTAGCTTTTTGAAATGTATTACAATCCATTGTTTTACTGTGTAAAAGTTTATAATGTTGCCAATAATTTGGATCTTTTGAAGCAAATGAATGAATTGAAGCACGTTTCTAATAGGCGCATGTTTCGAATCTACATCACTCTCATCATCGGGTCAAAATCATCAGACCCGCCTCTTCGCATGAGAAAAGGTACTGAAGTAGACGCGTGTGAACGAAAGAAAACACGGTGTGCTGTGCTGTGCATTTCACATCGCCAACCGCATGTGATGCATGATTGAAAATCGGTGTGAAAACCGTGTCAATTGCGTCATGACGCAGTTCACAATATCATTCCAACCCTCTGTGGTGTCCACCAGTAACACAAAACAACAGCGACATGCCTCGGTTCGGACTTCTTCCTTACTATGACTCGGACAGTGATGGCGATGAAGAAATTGAGATGGAAGAGAAATCATCAGACGAGACCCATCATCCATCTGCTGTTGGCAGCAACGTGAATGACAGGTGGATGCTTTCTCACCATCACAACAATATTCCAATTCGTCACACTGAGTCTCGATGGAAACAGTGGAACGATAGAAACTCCATTGCCTTTGTTGAGACGCTGAATATGACTCTCTCCAAATTGAACGACTCGATCCAAGAACAAATACAAGTCGAGCGTGAGAAACTCGAACAAGAACACCGACAGGAAAACAACGCAATCCAAGTCTTGTGTGAAAACCTGCAAGTGCAGAACTCATCATCAAACCTACTAGAAAATCGAGAGCAAAATGAAGACAAAACTGACATCGGCTGTACGCATGATGAATCGAAATCCGAATACAAGCAAGTTGAGGGCACAAATGAACGAATACATCCTGTTGAAACAAAGCCAAAAAAGACAGATGATACAGGGAGCAAAATAAATTCCACCAACGAGAATGCCCAGGCTTCTGCGCCCAAACTGACCTCAGAGCCAGAACACGTGCTAAAGGCAAACAGCCTACTCGAGCAATTGGATCGTTTGCAGAAGTCAATAGAGCCGTTCTCCAAGAACAAGGCTGTGTCAAAACGACGGCTGAAAATGAAGAAGACAGTTTGTGGAAAGCTCAATACCCTAACTGACAGCGCGACCAAAGTGAGCGAGGTAGCAGACGAAGTCAATGAGGCCATTCAATTAGCCCGACAGGAAGATGCACAAAACCCCAACATGGCTCTGGGTGAATCATATGTACTCGACCTTCTGGCATCCAACACTATTCAAAGAATACAAGCAGAAAGTTTCAATGGACCACGTGGTGACGGACTTCCGCTTGCGGCAATGATTGCACGGGTCGCTTCCGAAAACAATAATGTGATTCCAGTGCTGGAGGCCCACATTTACAAGGTTTGTCCAATGGCGATTCCTCGATTTCCGCATAATGAGGCTGGTAATAAAACCAGTGATGACGAGCTCATGAAAAATCTTGGTATGCAACGAGACAAGAGCGGTGATTTTGAAAGCTGGGATCGCTTCGTCAGCCGAACCGAAAATGTTATCGCAATGATGGCCAACATTCAAGCTTCAACACCGCCGGCACACTCACGACTCGGCGGACATGAGGGAGCAGCAGATTGGTTGGAGCGATTTCTGGAATCCCTCCCACCCACAACGCCACTCCCACTCTTGACGGCGCCTGTACTCCATGGATTCCTCTCCGGCGCAGGTAGCATGCTCGCAAATCACCACAAAGCTTTCTTCAAGAAAAGCCTTCACACCTTATCCTCCGATGTACTAGGTCGACTGGATAAAGGTGCAATTGGGAAACCAAGTTTCATTCGATTGTCAAAGTTACTCCACAATGACTTCGGTGGACCCCGATCAAAGTTCCCTCCAAAGGCCATGCACCAACGAATATCTCCTCCATCGGACCGAAATCTCCACCGAACCTCTCCTACCTTTAGTGGCGCTGCTTCTCCACAGTATTCCGAGAGCAGGTCGGGCGATGCCATGATGTCTGACGCGTTTGAGAATAAGCGTATCACCATGACTAGCCCATTCACAAATCCTGGAACCGCCGTGCGGAACAAGAATCAGAAATCAAACGGTTCCCATAGATCTGGAGCATTTGGATTCAGCTCTTCATCAAGTCCTTTCGGGTCGAGTTTCGGTCAACCATTGCATGGATTCGGTTCCCAAGGTGGCCAAATCAGAAATCCGTTCGAACGAAAGCAAGGGCAGGGATCACAGCTATGCTTTGGAAAATCACCGAGCACCTTGTTCGGTCAAAGAACACAGCCACACGCTAGACACACCAACCAACATAATGCAGGTGATGCGAAAACAAATAGCAAGAAAAAGAAGACAAAACCCCCTTGCAAGTTCTTTGCCTCGGGGACTTGTCGATTTGGCAGCTCATGCAGATTCTCTCATGAGAGTGGAAACCCTACAGCTCTGAACCCAAGAAATCCATTTGCATAATAATATAGCAAAAACCTAGAATATAAAATACTACCATCTTTTGTCGGTTGAAAGCATAAGCGACGAGTTAGCTCTTATACTACAACTATATGCTTGGGATTAGGCCATCTCGAAGCAAGTGGAACAACACACTAGCTCGTCGTGATTCGTCAGATTCAAGTTCTTTCGATGTCGTTTTCTTCTCGGTCTCTGCAGTGAGATTGCTGAGCCACAGATCACTCGTTCTCGGTAGCGGAACTTTCTGCGCCCGGTGAAGCAAATTCGGCCATAGTCCTACGGGTGCCTGATCCTTGTACAACACGAATTTTCGTCCTCCTCGATTCACATCCAAGAAGAATCGGTTCGTAATACATGTGGTGGTGTTCAATAGAATTTCTTCCAGATACATATTGTCTTGTAGCTGAGACATGAGTTCTGAAATCCCCTCTTCCGTGTACGATTGTCGTCCGCCCAAGTCAAGCTTTTTGATCTTCCACGCGTGCAGCGATTTCGCCATCTGTTTCACGCCATTGTCGTCAATGCCACAACCAAACAAATTGACACTTCGTATGCTCGAAGTTTGACCTAGTGCGTTTGCCAGAGCCCCAAGACTCTTGGTGGATACCGAACACCAGGAAACATTAAGAATTTCGATGGACGAGGTCGTTCCAACACCTCGAAAAAGTTCGGACATGTTGGTCTCATCGATCCGGTTGTCGGACAGCTGGACGTATCGAATGGGTGCTACCTCTAAGGCGTCGGCAAATGCCTTGAGTTGAATGGTTTGGGAATCTGAGAATTGCTGAGCTCCCATGTCCAGCACCAACAGATTAGTTGTTTTCATGACCCGAGACAACGCATTCATTCCTTCATTTATACAAGAATTCCCCTCGAAATTTAGTTCCAAAAGTGACTTGTGATCCACAAGAGAGTTGTTGATCACTTCACATTGCTCGTCTCGGAGACCGCATCCCTTGAGACTGAGACTTTGCATGGACTCAGCGACCCTCAATCCATCTCCGAACGCAATGTGTGCGTCTCCGACAAATGTTGAATTGTCAAGGTGTAGCTCCATTATGGGGCTTTTGCTGAGACTATCGAATAAGGAGCGAATGTCACTACCATTCAACGTCATGTCATGCAGTTCCAATATCAATAAAGATGAATTCGAAGCCAATCCTTTGCCAAGAGATGATAGAACATGAGATGTAGCATCCTTGATAACCAGCTTTCGAACCTTTGTTTTTAAAACTGCGTCAACCACCATGCCAAGATCTCCGGTGCAGTTCAGTAACTTGATTCCATTCCATTTCCGTCCTTCCATGGATATCAATTTGAGGATCCTCTTGAGAATTCCAGAGTCATCATTTCCAAAAGATTCCCCCACAATACTAATGTATTTGATTTGTAGATCTTCTGCAGCCTTTTGGCATTGTAGCTTCTTGTCTGCAAAGGAAGCTTCTCCGTCGATGGTAACGGTATGACTTGCCATCGTCGTGCTGCTTTCTACAAATGGCAATGGGAAGAGGTTCCGTGTCCTAATGATGGAAAAGTTTTCCGAACACGTTGAGTTTTGTGGCGCACTCTGTGAAACAGAACGCATCCGTTTTACGTGTGCGGACTGACGTGCGACACGTCACGTAGGGAAATATTGTGGAGAAAATTATCTGGGTGCACTCAATACGAAAATTTGCCTGTGAAAGGAAATAGCAACGCTTCGAAGATGTGGCGAAAGTAAAACTGCGAGCCACATTATTCTTCCGCAAGATGGGCTGGAAAGCCGGTGGAGTAGCAAATTTATAACGAAATTAGGTAATGAAGAAACCTGATCATCTATTGTTTGTATTCAACTCTGTGGAGCATTTTGTATATGGAGACGACCGCCTGGAACACATGCCACGCATCTTAGTTGCTGCCCCATAGATGAAGCACTCTGATGGCTAGGATAGCTACAGCAACGAGGATTCATTCTTGATTCACTGAAATATACTGAAATCTTCCAGCAAACTTTGCGGGGCAATCAATTTATGATTCTTCTTTCACAACGTCCATTGCAGGTTCTGATTCTGTTGCTGGATCTGGTATGCCATTCTTCATCAGCTCTTCCCAGTCTGCAATCGGATCACCAATCTGCATTTCGCAGTACATGACTATCAAATGATCCGCAGTGAGACCCTTGTGCTTGTCAGCTCCAACTTCTTCACACAAGAACTCGTAGTCGTCCTTTTCCATACCAAGATCTCCAGTAGCGTCAGCCAATGCGCTACATTCCGCATACGACAAGAAACCATCCTTATCCTTGTCGGCCATCGCAAAGATTTCAACACTGGCTTCGGACCGTGTCACCTTCATCTTGGCTTCATCGGCAGCAGTGACCCGAAGCTTGGTTGTCTGATGCGAAATCAAAACCAGCTGCAACTTTCCAACCACCTGATCCGCATTGGGTCGCTTTTTCGGATCCACATCGCAACATTTGACGGCCACGGAAATACATTGTTCTGGAATGTCACTTCTTTCTTTAGGGTCGCCACCAACCACTGCTGCTAGCTTTTTCGCGTCCAAACCAAATTCATTGGTACGAGTGGTATCAACAATGTCTTCTCCTTCCGCACCCGCCAATGCTTCCGAAATGGTAATTCCAAATGAAAAGATATCAGCAGCAATATTGTAGTCGCCACCGTTCATGACCTCGGGCGCCATGTGTGTATACGTTCCTGCCGCACTCGTCATTCCCGTCATTGCTTCCTTGGGAGCATTCAGGGGGCCGTGCATGAAGGATTTTGAAATGGTCATTTTCTTAATGACACCGCTCACGTATAGTTTTGCCAAACCAAAGTCAGCGATCTTCAAGTTACCCTTGGAATCCAACAATAGATTGACGCCCTTAATGTCACGATGAATTACACCATGAGAATGCAAATATGCCAATCCACGGGCGGCACCTTGCAACATTCCACACACTTGAATCCAAAGTTCTTCGTTGTTTCGGTCAGGTTTGGCTGCCTCTACAAAGTCCACTAGTGTACTGCACTTTTTGCCATTGTACTCGTAACCCATGTATTCCATCACCAGACAGGGAGGATTCAAGTCAGCAGGCCAAGATTCAGGAATCTTGCCTTCATCTATACAAACTCCGTATAGTCGAACAATGTTGGGGTGATCAATCTTGTCCATGATGGAACATTCGTTTCGAAGTTCATCCACAATGGATTGCTTGATGAATTTCAGAGCACACCTGACTCCTCGCCAATTACCACCATAGACGGCTCCAAACGAACCTTGTCCTAACTGTTTTCCAATGCTGACATTAGCAGCACGCAGCATGGACAAACCACCAAAAGATCTCAAGTCTTCTTGAGCTTGAAAATCAAGCTTTGCTTGCTCCAAGGCAGATTCCAGCTCTGAAACTCGCTGTCGCAAGTGTTCATTTTCCTCGATTAATTCTTCGATACTTTCTTGTTGTTTCTCTTTACTTAAACTAGAGCTGCTAGAACCACGGGCATATTTTATCACCTTTTTCATGGAAGATCCTACGATTTGCGTGGATCCAGTTATCGTGGATCCGACGGCTTGGGCAGACCCTTTGACCGAGGATCCCACCAGCTTGGCCGATCCTTTGACAGAGGATCCTACCAGCTTGGCGGATCCCTTGACCGTGGATTCAAGAGCTTTGTGGGGCTTGATAATCGTACTGAAACGAACCATTTTGATGCAAGAGTCTCAGTGTAAACTATGTTACGTGAACAGAAGAGAGCTGTTGGAACCAATGTGACAAACGCTTGCAATGATTCGCAAGAAACTGGTCGTCAAAAGATATGAAAAAGTCATAATCGCGGTTCCAGTTGGAACGCTTGCGCGCGGTCATTTTGGGAAGGGGGAGATCCACCAAAAAATGTATGGGGGAAGACCAAAACGTTTGATCGTAATAGCACCAGCTCTGATGGAAGGAACCTGGTACCCTCGTACGACTGCCTTGTTGGTATCGGGTTGGAAAATGTTGCTCCCTCGTAACCTCCATCCATTGTTGCCTATCAGAATGGTGATAGGAACGACTGCCTCCGATAGACAGGACTGGGCTGGCATTGTAGTAGTTAGTACTAGTCACCTGACGGAGGTAATTGATTTGATTGATTGATCGATTGACAACCTACTACATTCCTCTTCTAGTAGTACTATCCGTGCCGATCAATATCCTTTCTAAAAAGGTGATTCCATGTATAAAATATATAGTAACATACATATTAAGCATCTTGTGGAAGCGTATTATTTTCTTGGTCTGCAACAAGAGAGAAGCAAGTATTCTCATTAGTAGGCACCAATAGAACCACGTCGCAGCACTCGTGTGCCGGGTGGGCATTCATGATCATGACGACCCCCTGCTCCTTGACCCGTGGACCACCGCCTCCGCTCGGGGCGATTTATTTCTAGTAGCTGATAATGATTCGTGAGACCGCGTTCGTGCGCCAAACTTCCCGATTCCAGTGAGGTCAAAGAGTAGACCCAAGCAATTTCTTCGGGATCGCAAGATTGGCTCATGTACTGTTTGTTTTGTTCTTGGAGCACCGCTTCGATGGAGGACTCAATGAGGTAGTGTTTGGAATTTCTATCTTCGGAGGATTCCAAACCAAAGCCATCATCTTCAATCCCTACGTCGCCCTCGTAGAATCGTTGCTTGGCCAATTTGCGTTCTCGTTTCCGAATTTTGGAGAGTTCCATACGGGTTAACCACAGTGCTAGATACTGCTCATCGGTGAGATCGTTGACTGCTGTGGTAGCCGAGATGACCTCGTCGCCACCCCAACGAATGGAGGGCGAGGTGGAGCGTTTGCTGTGATGACTACTGGAACGAAACGGGAGAGGAAGTACGGCTTTCTTATGAAGGAGCAGGTTTTTTCGTGAGGAGGGCTGCTTCTCCAAGGTTGGTGAGAGGTCAACCTTGGTTGGCTGTTGTTTGCTGGTGATGCTGAAAAGTCTTCGGAATCCCATATGAGAAGTTGATTGTGGATATTGTGTCGGAAAACGTCTTTGGGCAGATTGTCATGATGTTTCGTCGTTGGCCCAAAGAAGGAGCATTTCGGAGTAAAGAGGAGCAGACCTTGATGCTTTCACGGTAACAAACGAGAACTGGAAACTGAAATCAAACTAGAAGCTCGCTAGAAGTGGAAGAGAAGGTGATAGCAAAGTTCGTCTTCTGGTGCGATCCATATTTATCGGGCATGGAAGATATGTTTCCATTGGACATTTGTAACCCGAAGCGGAAAAAGCATCTCGCGCGCATTTTCAATTTTTGAGAGTTTCATTGACATGAGATTTGAGGAGTCGGAGAGGTCTTCGATCTTGGGCATGGAGTAGATTTTGTTTTCAGAGCTTCGTAGTCACATCAAGGTCACATTACCACGAAGCTAATCCTTCTCTGTACAAACATAATCCCATATTTTTTGTTCAGGAAGTGGTTGGAAATTGTGTCACAAAAACAATTTGTCCTTGGGCTAAAAGAAGCAATTCGGAGTAAAAGTACCAGCACAGATGTAGTAGACCTTCTCAAAACTTGAAGGCGATAACAACGTTCGTCTTCCGGCGCAATTATGTACCGGGCAAATATATTATATATTGAGTTTTCCAAACCCGGCCGGTAGGACATTTGTAGCCCGAAGCGGAAAAGCATTGAGGGCTACATTCATGTATGGGCCGTTTATCTCCCGAGTAATAGTATGGCATGCTACGTATCGGCCAATTAAGTGATGGATGGGCTTTCACCGAGGAACGAGTCTTCAATCGCCCTTATCAGACCGGTGAAGATGTTAAGACATCCTATTTAGATGAGGTGAAACGAAAAGTGATAGAGCGCTTTCAGTTGCGGTTAGCGGTGCCATTGCAAAATAGCCAAGACCCCTCGTCAGTGTCCTGAGCTTGGCCCAAGGACATGCAAAAAAACAATGCGTTGGCCACCATAGCCACCATTTCCAGTATCTTCGAAATCAATTTCAATTGTTCTCGTAGGAGTTGGCGTTCCCCTACGTGCCATGGTCGTTGAAATGGTATGTTTCCCTTCCTGACCTTCGCCTCGGTGCACTTGATAGCCTTCGACAAGTTCCTCGTTGACTATGTATTGAACATTGTCCAGTTGATTGATCGGGATACTGCAAATATCCGGTAATTTGCTTCTAATCGTTTCGTAATAACCATGTGCCATAGACCGTGCATCAGCAAAATCCTTGAGGTAACACTGTACCTCTGTGATGTGCCATTGTCTTGGAGTTGGAACTGGAACCTTGAGGAGAAAGCTAATGTCACGCCACCCCAAGGCAGTCGGTTGTCGAAATCGATTTTCACACTGCAGAACTTCAAAGGAACCTTCAATGACTTCCATACCCTTGAGAAGCGACGGTGCATCCTCAAACTCGACAGCAAGTCGACTGAGATCCCGAAGACGCCTCCACCGAACTGTGCCATCCGGGCGCTTGTATTTGTACAAAGCCTTGGCCATGGATCGTTCTTTTGACTTGAGACCAGGGTCAACCACTGTTTGCAGACCCTGGATCAACCCATCGGAAGATTTGATGGCTTGAAAGTTGCGATGAGCACCCTCGCCATGCTCCTCGTCATAATTCTGCTTCCATTCCTCATTTAGCTCCGTTCGCGACCAGTCCGTGTTGGGAGCCACTACCTCCTTGACAAATCGTTGTGCGTGTGCTGCATCTTCGTACAGCTCGTCGTAGGAATTGGTTGGCTGCAATAGCATTTCTGGATCTTTTGGATTCGTGTATCCATCCATGGTCGATACCTTGGTAAACGAATCTGCTCCTTCTCTTGTTGTCTTGTTCAACGCTGCCTTGTATACATCACGACTCGAACGCACAGCCGGTTCAATTTCTCCAATGGCTGGCGTCAAATCAAAGCCTGTTTTGGCCTGGACACTCTGAATGACCTGGACAGCGGTGCTTCGAGGCACATCTACGGATGCCCATGATGATTTGCTCCCAGTAGCATCCATTGTCGTGACTTGGAAACTAGTGCAATTGTTACGATCCCAAGGTGTAAAGGTCCAACCTACCTCCTGCACAGGCAACTCTTCCTCCAACTCCAAGACAAGTTTGCAGGAGTTTTCGTATCGATCGGCAAACAAGACGTGCTGTTCAAAGTTTCCATTTCCCGTATATCTCGCAATGTAGGCAGGGTGGTATCCAAATGCCTTGCCCAAATCATCCGGCGACAAACTCCCAAACCAGGCCTCATAGTTCATCAAGGCTTCTGCCCCAATCCCTCGTTTATTCCAACGAGCGATATCATCATTCAAATTAGCAAATCCGCCACCCATTTCGATAATCTTTGCTTTGCTGGTGAGATACCGACCATGGGTACCATGCGTGTCGCCTGCCACCAAACTAGAAAAAACTCGATCGATAGAGTCCCATCTGTCTTGATCCAACTTGGACCTCATGCCGTTCCCAGGAAGATTCGAATCTTTGTACCATTTGGGCAATTTGTTCATCGCCGACTCGGGTATAAATATTGGCGGATGAAAATCGGAAGGGGCACCGGTATTGTTCTCCAAAGGTTCTTCTGGATCGGCATATCCATCCGGTGCGCTGGAACGTTTCAACCAACTGATTTCGCCATTGGGCGATCCTTGCAACCGATTGCTCAGCCGGAGGGTATATGTATTCTTTCGTTCCTTGGTAATACCACTGGCTTCATCACTGACTAAACAAGCTTGTTGTGCTTCCTGCAACGTTTGGTAGTTTTTGCCTCCATCGGAAGTGTATTTTCCAAGAAAGGTATCACGGTTGGGCTTTGTAAATTCCGAGTGGTCTACAAGGTCCGATGGAACGACAATCAAGTGTGAGTAGGTTTGACTCATAATCTGACTTGTAGTCGTATCTTTGTTGCCAATCCTTTATGATAGAGTCTTCACTTCCTTTTGGTTGCCGGTATAGAACTGTAGCATCGGCGCAGTGAGAATAAAAGATGTGAATAAAAGTCATACGTATACGTCACATTTTCAATGAAGTCCGTAAAATCATTAATTATTTGTGGACATTTGGAAACATGGGTCGAAGAAGTCCAAGAATGCGCCTGCCTGCCACGCCTGCAGGCCTAAAACTTCATATGCGCGCGCCTGCTACTTTACCGCAGTTTCCGATCAGGATGAGAACGGTGCTCATAACCCCAGAATTCGAATTCCTTCGCTTTGTTGACAGTTCGATCGAAATCCTGCTCACGCGGCTTGTCGTAGGCCGGCTTGTGTGTGCATCGTAGGCTTGTTTGCTAGTCCGGAAGAACAAAAACTGTCTGGACTTTTCACTTCGCACAGCCATCACAATCCGAAGCAGTTCTTCTTTTCCTGTTGCATTTCCATTCTTCTTCTAGCTACTGTAGTACACGTCATCCCAGATACTCTGAATCAGTTTCCTCTATCTGCGTAAGTCCAAACTGTCGATGGAGATCATACTGTACATCTTCCAATACTATTTCTGACGTCTCGCTTTTCTGATATCGATTGTTTCGCCTCTGATGTCTCCAATGTTTCAGATTATGATGACTCCTCAATCAAGAACAAGCAGCTCCAATGACCGACGCCTCAAGTCGGCTGCTGCCTTGGCAACCTTTTGGACGCTGTCTGGGATGCCATCGACTCATGGCTTCAGTACGTCTTATGGCTCTGCCGTGTCCCAGTCATTGAGTCATCCTCTAAATCGAGGTCCTTTAAAGCATGCAGATTTTAGACGGAAACAACAAGAGAGTTCTTTGTACGCACTTCCCAACAAACCATTGTCGTCGTCGTCGCCGCTACAGCAGCAGACATCCAGTTCCACAGCACTGGATTCCTCCGTCGCAATGCCTATTTCATCATCAGTGGCATCATTATCAGACACTCAACAAGAAGACTTTCAATGGAGCAAACAAAACATGGCAATTGCTTTGCCTGCCTTGATGGGACTTTTGGCGGATCCAGTATTGAGTATGATTGATACTGGTTTCGTCGGTCGGGTAGGACCCATTGATTTGGCCGCCTTGGGCGTTTGTACGTCCATCTTCAACATGGCCTTTACCGTCTTTCGGGCTTCCACAGTCGCCACAACATCCCTGGTAGGTTCGGCCAAAACCAAGGAAGACAAGCGTCAAATTGCCAAGATTTCACTGCAGTTGGGTGGAATTCTCGGAACTATTGTCTTGCTGACACTTCGACTGGGAGGACCTGCCATTCTAGCCACCATGGGAGTTGCTTCTGATTCCCCAATGTTCAAACCGGCCTGTGATTATCTGTTTGCCCGGAGTTGGGCTGCCCCAGCTGTCGTTGGAGTTGTCATTGCGGAAGGTGCCTTTCGCGGAAATGATGATTCTAAGACGCCGTTGGTTGCCAGCAGTATTGCGGCACTCATCAATCTAGTCCTTGATCCACTCTTAATGTTCCCATTCGGCATGGGCATGACAGGGGCTGCCATTGCCACGGCGATTTCTCAATTTGGAGCCGCTGGAGTCTTTACTTGGAGAATGTGGAAGCGGAAGCTATTACCACAACCCAACGATAAGGTGACAGTCAAGGCCAAGGAAATTGTCAAGACGATTTTGGGCGCCAACTTGGCAATGCTGACCAAACAGGGATCCATGTTGGTATTCTACACAATTGCTACTGCTTTGGCAACTCGAATGGGTCCAGCCCATGTGGCGACACACCAAGTTGCCCTTAGTCTGTTCTGGTTAGTCACATACTGGCTAGATTCTGGTTCCGTTAGCGCGCAAGTTCTTATGGGCAAGAATAATGACGACACCCAACGAGCCACTTCGCTTACCAAGTACATGGCCAAATACGCTGTGGTACAAGGTGTTGCCTTTAGCGCACTCGTCGCTGGCATTGGCAAGTTTGTTCCAGGTGTCTTTACTGCAGATGCAACTATCCAGTCCCTACTCTTCCAATGTCTCCCTTACTTGGCACTCCAACAGACCATAGTCAGTATTACACTGATTTTGGAAGGTCTGGCCGTGGGAGGCAACCAATTTCGATACATGGCCACTGGAACTGCTGCCGCTACCTTTTTTGGAATCAAGTCACTACTGAAAGCAACATCAGTAGTGGATATTTGGTCCACTGCAGTCAACACCTTCTTTGGTTTGCGATTGCTGAATGCCATCATTGGGGTGGCCCGAGTCCACATTGGACTGAGGAGACGAGATCAAAGTCAAGTGACGGCCATCAAGACAGCTTGAAAAAAGAATGGACAACTGCTGAACATACACCTGGCGCTATGATTGTGCATACTTTCATCGCATTTTACAATCTACAAGAACAAATATTATTTTATCATAACAACTTTTAAAAAAGCAAGAAGCTAAAACAAAGAAGCTACACCAATCATAGTAGATCTGTGGCCTCGGTGTCTGGTTTCCTCTTTCGCCACGATCAGTTTGGTACTTTCGCAGAGAAAGTATAACTGTAAAAGCCACCGGCAGTATCCAGAAGCTACCTTTAAAACAATGAAACTATTGTTAGAAGGTAGGCGCCATGCTGTATTATTGTTTCTTCTTTCGCCACGTGCCTGGCCATATCCGTATTAGAAATGATAGTGGTTTTGTACTCGATAAAACAGTTTTTATTTGTGTGCATTGATCAATAAGGAAGTTTTACTTATGAGCATTCAAAATACATAAGGATCCAACAAGTTTTAAAGTTTTTCATATATGTGACATGTATCAGGGTTTGGATTGCTTGATAAGACACTGAAATATTGCCGCGCGACCACGAAAGGGCCAAAATACTACTGTACGTTAAAATTGTGCTCACAGACTGATCTTGCTCGACTCAAGAAAATACTAGTGGTGGAGAAGTACGTGATCACCAATCTCGTCTGAGTTCTCATTTCTATGAGGGCAATCCCTGAATGGTTGATAGGAGCGTCTTCTGGCACCATTCAAAGTGACACAGAAGCTTCGGTAGTGTCCTTTCTCATCCGAAACGGCACGAGAACTCCTCATAGTTTTCTTCCGTTTCGATTGCACTTGCAGGCGCTGACTCCGGGATACTCTGTCACTTCATCGCTTCTGATGCTATCACGATAGAGAAGCTTTCTCCCGCGATTCTTGAATCTAATTTACCTATTATAGAAATGATCGATGGTGACAATACAGGCCTCGTAGCATTTGCTTTCGATTGCAGGCGTCTCCTCCTAACCTTCTTTTGTTTCCTCCGCAGCCAGCAGCCATTTTCGTGGGTTTGCTATCAAAGCATCTTTCGCAATGACCAACACAACAAATTCATTTTCTAAAGTACTACTACCAGCAGGTTACAGTGGATTGACCCAGCTTGAAATGGTCAGGTGAAACCACGACGTTTCATTGCAACAAAGAAATCGTTGAAACAAAAACTATAGCTTTTGATTGAAGCAACAATCGAAACAACAACAGTTTGATCTTGTGGAAAGGTTTTCTTGTAGCTCTCTCCTGCTGCATCAGAAGCTGATGGCGGCAATGTTTTCAACGAATCAATCACTACCGGTATGATGACACCCAGCCAGCCAACTGTTACCCCAACAAGAACAACACGATCAGCAAAAGTAACATTGTGCTGACCCAACTGTGCCAATTTCGTCATGACAACATGCAAGACTGTATGTGATCGTCAAACAACACGAGGCATTATGAGCTGGTGTCATCTACTCATTTCTCGGAGGACTGTTATGGAGGGAGTCACGGTACTATACTATGAGTGTGCTTACTTCTACAACCATTATACCGCTTCGAATTTTGGTCGAAAACAAAGTTGCACTCGTCATGGAAAGATCCAAACTCAGAGCACGCTTGCTTCTCTACATTCTGCAGACTCAGGGATAAACATTCGCGCTACTGGCTACTAATTTACCTCTGATGACTCGTACGGGTTTCTCTTGTGTCCTGTACATCCTCGTCATCAGCTGCCATCATCATAGCCGTTTCATGAATTCCAGCGAAGATGGGTAATCTCTTATTCACCATGACAACGCATTAGGTGCTGAATATGCTGTCCCTCAGCACCTTGGGAGGTATGGCTGATGGCCAACCAAGTCTGAAGACTGAGGAGAATGGAGCACTGGATGTGATCCTCACCTACTACTGCATCTACCGTCGTATTGTCCGTGAAACAATCACCATGATGGCACCCAGCTTTTACCCTAACAAGATGATCAGCGGAACCAATCTTCCACTGACTCGATTGCCGCTTTCTTCAGGTCAAAATGCAAGACTGCATATGATCGTCGTCAAATGACACGACGAAACATGACCGTCATGTACTACTGCTGATACTATCATCTTCTCGGTGGTCCAGACCTTTAAGGCAGTCAGAATGCATTGAGTGTACCTACCGTTGCAGCAATGATATCCGCATGTTAATGGAACAGCTGTTCTACCTATGCCCTAGAGAGTTTTGGTAACTTACCGCACGGGGATAATCGTACGGGATTTTTGGTTCCCTTAACGCAGACTCATCATCCGCCGCGCGTACCCGTCTGTCTTATTGAAAGCTGCAGCTGTTATGGCGGCGTTTGAATCAACTTATATTCACCAGACCAAGGAGTTTTAAATGCTGAATATGTTGTCACCCAACACCAAGAGCGATAAGACTGATGGGGCACCGGGCAAACGTGCAGCATGCTCCGGCAAGAAACGTCGCCGCTTGAGGTTTGAGGAAACGATCAACCCAAACGCAGAAAGCATTACGAATATCACCGCTATAGACATTCTCTTTGGTAGAGGACGTGGTTATCAGGACCGCCCAGGCAACAAGCGTATGAGGGCGATTGTCGCAACTCACAAAGAAAGGTACCAGGCATTGGAGCTGTCCAGTAAGCGAACTTTTGTGGAAGCAGTCTACGATGAGATTACACGGGATGGTGCTAGGTTCTTGCACAAGCAAGGAGATGAAGAGGGGTTTGTCATGGTCGAAGTACCAGTGGCGCTTCATAAAGTGAGAAACTTGCTCCGCTGCAAGAAATCATTCGGGAAGATGACTGACCCAAGTAAAAAGACAGAGAAAGCAGAGTCGTCAGATTCTTTTCAGGTGAGAGCCATAAAGACACCTGTTGCGCTATCTGAAGGGAGTAGTACAGCGTCCGCGATTCAAGAACCGTCCATACGACAAGCTGTTGCTGCCATGTCGTTTCCTGCACTACCGCTGCATGTTTCATCTACTCCTTTACTGCCCATGCAACACCTTCAGCAGGCATCCCTTGCCTCCCTGGGCAATCCTATTGGCCTTCAATCTTGGAATGCTGGTATGTCATTAGGCTCATTGCCTCTACAAATGTCTGCGATTGCTGCGTGCAATGCCGCAGAAGAGCTACAAATGCTTCAGCAGTACCATCATCATCGTCGGTCCGCTGAGATGGCACATCGCCTCCGTTCCAAGCAACCACCACGAGATCCATGACTGTAGCTTCAGCGATACATCAGCTGTTGTATTTTATATGTTTAATTTACTTTTTTGACAGTAGTCCTAGATGTGTTTCTACTGTAGCTTCTTTCATTGTTACCCGATTATTCCCCCTTGCAATTCGGTCGATTTGCTCTTTGTCACGTGTAACATGTCATCAGCGTTGGTGCATGGTAGAATCAATTTGAAAAGACAACTAACTAAGCGTTTACAGGTTCTGGTATAGGAACCAATCAATCAAGCACAACAACATTCTACGACTTTTTTAAAAACAATAAATTTTTGATTCCTACCCTCAAACATTCGCTGAATTTTCTTCGGGGATTCTTGCTTCTTCCGTTGTTGTTGTCGTTTGGATATCCACTCCTTCTTCGTTTGCTGGTGTCAGCGTGCCCATTTCTACATCCGAGGTTTCATTCACTTCCGAGGTTTCATTGATGATTTGGGGCGTATCATCATTCCTCCCTTGTCCTTGTTGCTGTTGGTGCTGCTGCTGCAGCGAATGTACAGACGGCATGGGCAGGCTAACGATGCGTGGTCCCGTCCCAGTTCCTCTGTCCGTATTATTCCCTGGCGTCGTACCGTCATAATAGAGTCGAACTTGTGCCTGTCGATACAACTGTTCAATGGTCGCCAGCATGTTGACAAAGGATTCTTCATCGGACGTAAAGATGCTCCCATTCGCCAAGGCTGCATTCTGGTCACTGGATAGTGGAGGGACTCTTTGGCGCTGTTGTTGTTGTTGTTGTTGTTGCCTTGTTGTGGAACGATGATGATGATGATGATGATGACGATGATTCGAGGAAGATGGGTTCCCCATTTCTTCCATTTCACTGCTGTTCATTTCACTGCCAACTTCTTTTGGCAACATGTAATTCAGTCGACAACATGGACATTCATCATGCCGGAGTAGCCATTCTTCTATGCAGTCTTTATGGAACATGTGATTGCACTGCGGATGATTGGACCAACAAATCTCGTCACCAGGCTTGTATTCATTGAAACAAATCGTACAAGCAGGCCTGGTGTCTTCATCATCCTCTTGGAACGGGGCGGCGTCACCATTCAAATCATCTACTGGTGGAGTGATAGAGAGTCGGGGAGGAGGAGTGTCATCATTATTGTCTTCTGCTGAAAAGTTGGAGTTGGAAGTAGCATTGCTTTCCATTTCCGAAAGTTCACTGTCCGTTTGAGGAGGAGTCATAGTCACAGAGGAATTCTGCAAGATGAGGTCACTCTTCTGTTGTTGTGGTTGTGAATAAGAAGAATCCTCCACGATGACTTTTCTCAATACCAATGTCTCTCGAATAAACTCTTTTCGCCGCCGACTTTGTTCGGCAAAGCTCATTTGTTGCTGTTGCTGTTGCTGTTGCTGTTGATTAGACGACATGAAACGAGAAGCACCCAAGGGCATGACCCACCGGAAATTATTCCCTTGTTCATCATGACTGTTTATTTGTTGTATCGACCTGACAGCAGCCCGTCGACGTCGATCTTGTATCTCAGTTCGTCGACGAATCCATCGAAAGATTGCTCTATAATGATGATCATCGATTCATTGATTCATTAGATGCAACAAAAAGAAAACAGAGCAAGAACGAGGAAGGGAAGTGTGAGACACATTTTTGTTTGCGACTGGGCACTATATATATACCGGTACCGTTGACACCAGCATTAGAGGTTTGTGACTTACGGTACCACAAAAAAGAGTAAAAAGACAACCGACCAGACAATCCCAAAGGCGTTGAAGGAGCCTGGCATGATGTTTATTCTATGATGATAGTTGGTGGGGGGGGGGAAGCCTTTTTGTATTCTCTTCCTGTGTTATATTTTATATTGTCAACATATTATAAAAAGACACCGCTTTGCGATGATTGCGCGGTCGTGATAGCGGAGAATTACAGTATTGATCCGAAGCATAAAGCTACTACTTCAGCTCTTTTGGATGGTTCTTCCGTGTCAACGACAGTTCTTCTCCAAAGATACACCCCCACCCACAAAAGTTCGCTAGGATGGTGTCGAAAATGTCCAAGGAACGGAGCAAAGTGATAAAGATGAACGAATCCTAATTTTGAACACTATCAATATTGTTTGTCCACGAGGTACTGTAGCACTCTTTTTTTTCCCTTCTTCTAAAAGTACTATTACTAATAATAATGTCACATGGTGGTGATGGAGGTAAGAGCCCTCTACTGGATAAAATATTGTACAACAGGACACACTAGCCCCTCGGTTCTTTGTCTGGTCTCTCTGTGTGGAACATACCTACAGTACGAAAGAAACAAAAGGATCAAGTGTTACATACATGTCATCCTGAATATGCATGAAAACAAAAGAAGAAACAAAAAGAGTCAGAACAACATTGTGGGTGACTCACCTCTCAAGCAACAAGCTAGCACAGTACTAGCACTACTAGACAGCCTCGTACTTGAATTCCTTACGCTTTGCATTGGCCCATTCCATGAATTGTGTTTGTTCCGGTGTAAAGGACGATGATGATGAGGAAGATGTCCCCGTGGTATCATATGTATCATTGGCTCCTTGTTGTTGTTGTTGCTGAAAATAGTCGAGACCACCACCACCACCACCAATTGCTGCCATTGCTTTGGATTGAAATGGCGTAGGTAGTAGCTGCGCTTGCGCTTGTTGTTGTAGTTGCGCTTGTTGCTGCGCTTGTTGCTGTGCTCGTTGTAATTGTTGCTGTAGACGTTGTTGTAGTTGTGCTTGCTGCAATTGTTGCTGTTGCTGTTGCTGTTGCTGTTGAGATCTTTGTTGCTGTTGTTGTTGTTGTTGCAATTGTTGTGCTTGCTGCAACTGTGACGCTGGTAGTGGTGCACTACGCGACCCTAGACTTTGCACTTCTCCCTCCTCCCCAAACATTTCTAGAGGCATGACATGCCCATTATTCTCTAGATAGGTTGCCCATTGGAGCAAGTCTCTTGCTCTCAAACCAGGATTGCCTTGAGCCAAGACTAGCAAATCTTGAATGGATACCCATCGAGCTTCCAAACTCTCCGAATCTGCCGTGGTCTTGTAGTTGTTGGCTTCTTGTAGGGACGTTGGCTCGCAATAATAAATGACTCGCATCCGACAGACATCCCCAGATACCGAATGGTCTACTTTCAGGATACCTTTCAATTGAATCTTGACGCCGGCAGCTTCCAAACATTCTCTGTCGCAGGTCTGCTGAAAGGTTTCTCCTCGTTCCACACAACCACCAGGGACCCACCATCCTCGGCCGTTGGTTTCATTGACTGCCAACCATTTGCCAAAGTGTGGTGAGTTGGGAAAGGGATTGCGGACAATGGCCAAGGCGAACTGGACGCTTTGAAAGATGCAACGATCGTGTGTTTTCTGTTTCTTTTGGGGTTTTGGTTCTACTACTTGTTCCGAGTGTTGCTGTTTATGTTTTTGTTGTTGTTGCTGTTGTTGCTGTTGTTGCTGTTGTTGTTGCTGTTGCTGTTGCTGTTGTTGATGTTGCTGCTCGTCAAGAAGAGTTTGCAAAAACAGACTGTCATTGTTGTTGTTGTTGTTGTTGGCTTCCATTCTTCTTCTTGGATGTTCGATGGAATGGATGGATAGTATCCTTTGATGGATGATGGTACAGTACGGTGTCTTCTTCTTTTATTACTGGTACCAGTATCTACAGTATGGTACCGGGTATCTACAGTACAGTCTCCAATCACACAAACTTTAGAGGCAAAGAACACATGCACCAGTGTTCTTTGATTTTCCGAACCCTCCAATCATATCATATGGACGATGGACAGACATTTTTAGGGCCAATGACGCGGGATTCATTTTATTCAGTTGGCGCCGAACGAACCAAAACTCCGATCGTTACGCGCTTGCAAAACGCCCCCGTACAGAGGTGATGACGACTTGATGCCCGGCTTCTCATTTAATGTTCGGGAATCATTCTATGTAAGACACCTTTCTACGAGAGCGATTGTGCATCTATCATCAATCACCACAATAATATATATGCTGGTACCTGGTAGTGTACAATTAACACAGAAAGTTCCACAGTTTCCCATTCAAACCTCACCATTATCAGAACGTATCCTAGAAATATATACCATACTTACAATTCATAACATACAATACATCACTACTACTACTTACCACCATGAGCTTCTCAACCGAAACGTCAAGAACTTATGATCATTCACTGAGTGTCATCGAAATGTTGTGGATGGCAATTCTTGCCACATTCCTGATTGCACCGTAAGTTCTGACCATGAGATTATAATACACCTATATATATCGCATATTCTCAACTCATATCTTGCCTTACCTTTCACACCATTTACAGTATGCTTCTGTGGTGCATACGAAAATGTCAGAGTGCACGACAGGTCTCACCAGGAGCAGCAGCAACAACATCAAATGCGAGAGCGCCCAAGACCAAACAAGAAATCGAGGCGCGCAAAACGTACTTGGAACATCATTTGAAAATCCACAAGGTCGTAACGAGTACTATTGACACAAATCGTAGTGAGGCAAAAGATGACCCTGAGAAAACAACGGCAACAACAACAACAACAACGACGACTCCATCCACTGCTGATATTTCAAACATCACAAAGGGAGACTTGATATTGCCACCACCAGCACCATCATCATCACCATCACCATCAGTACCAGCCGCAGATTCACAAGATACATCCGAGGATGATGCATCATTAGATGCTATTGATATGGATATGGATGATGATGACGATCGACCCATGTGTGCCATTTGCGTCAATGCCTACAAAGCGAATGACAATATTTGTTGGTCCAATAATTGTCAATGTCATCATTGTTTTCATCAGGAATGCATTACCGAATGGTTGCTCCTTCATGAGGAATGTCCTTGTTGTCGATTGCCATTTTTGGTGAATGGAGTTGGTAGCAAAAAAGGAACTGGTGACGAAGAACAAGGTGGTGGTGACACGGATGTGAGCCATGCCGAAAGTAGTCTTGCGAGCCACGATCCACGAACCAACTTGCGGTTTTCGACCCAAGACGAGGATTCCTTTCAGAGAATGGTGGCCAGTCTACGAAATTCCTACCACTCAATACAGTCTCCTCGTGCAGTGGGGGAAGAAGAAATGGAATCATCAAAAGCATCGCCATCCAGAGCAGAGAATCACGACACTATAGATGCATCTGGACGAACCGCGGTCATGGATGCGTCTGGACGAACACAAGTCATGGTGGATCCAGAAACGCTTTTAAAACAGCCAAACAGTGCAGAAAATACCAATGCGGATAACACAGCATTTGTCGATGTTGAGCTCGGAGAGTCGGATGAAAGCAGCCATGGTGATGCAGCAGCAGATTCGACCGAGCATTCCGAAGAGCATACGCAACACTGTTAATAAGCTAAGATACCACAATTTTGTTACAATCATTCAATTTACTGTGCAACATAGCTGTAATATTAGAGAAGAATCAATCACCATTACCAAGAGATCGATAGATGTACTGGTAGTAGTCATTGGTGTTCATTGTGTATGCTTCCTCCTTTTTCAGGCCAGTTGAAAATCCTATCCATTCAATTATCGTCATCAAAAGCATCATCAGTCGGTCTCGAAATGTGGTGGTAGTTTGGAGTGATGGTCGGCTGGGAGGTGCCTGGGTACGTGTACCCATCATCATCAAACAAAGCATTATCATTGCCATAATTCGGTCCTGAAATGTGGTTGTGGTTTGGGATGATGGTTGGCGGGGATGTGCGCGGGTACCAATTGGTAGGGCTCGGAGTTTCTTGATAGGAGGTTGGACCTATGGTCGGCACGGAAGTCCGTGAGAACCAATCGGTTGTGATGGTCGGCGGGGCAGTGCGTGCGAACCATTTGGTTGGGCTCGGAGTTTGGTAGTTCATTGGACCTATGGTTGGAGATATGGTCGGCAGGGAAGTCCGTGAAAACCAATCGGTTGTGATGGTCGGCGGGGCAGTGCGTGCGAACCATTTGGTTGGGCTCGGAGTTTGGTAGTTCATTGGACCTATGGTTGGAGGTCTGGTCGGCAGGGAAGTGCGTGGGTACCAATTGGTTGGGCTCGGAGTTTGGTAGTTCGTTGGAGTTATGGTCGGCGGGGAAGTCCGTGAGAACCAATCGGTCGGGCTCGGAGTTCGGTAATAATTGGTTGGAGTGATGGTCGGTTGGGGTGTGTGTGGGTACCGATCATAGGTTGGATTCGCTGTTTGGACACAGCCCCCTCCATCCGAAAAGGTCTGACAAGTCTCTGCTGGAAAGGTTGATCCATAACCATTTTTGTCAAATGGCAAACCGGTAGCTGGTCGAAAATTTTGATAGTTGCCCGTGTAATTATAGATCCCAGCTCGCATCCAGCTGTTCTGAATTTTTCCTGCACCATAACAGATGGTGATTTCCCCTTCAGATATCTTCATCTGGGCATTGACTCGATATGGCGATTCGTCAAAGAATCCAAACAACATTACATCTTCAAACGAAACGGTGAGCGAGTTTCTTCTTCTTTGCTGTTGTTTGGTGCTTATACGGTCCTCGTCTTGCACGTTTTCTTGCTCCCACAAGATGTAAATGGAGCCCTGAACATTCGGGGACAGATTCATGACCACGACATCGATCGTGGCACAGTTGGAAAAATTCCAGCAGTGCAAGTTGACCCGGCCGTTGCTATTCACCTCGAATTCAGTCACATAAGTCCTATCATTCCAGGGCAGATGGTAGTTGTCGGGGACAGTGACACGCTCGGTGCATTCGTCGCAAAAGGAAACTTGATTCAGACGGATGCTGTTGCCATCGTTGGCAATGGATTCAAAGACATTGCCCTCCGTGGGTGTGGTGGATGGCACTAGAGTCGTCGGTCGTAAGGTAGGGCTTCTCTCCTCATCGTTCTCGAAAGAAGTATCCTTGTCACTCGAGTTGTTTTGGCTGACAAAGAGTCCAATCGTGATGGCTTGTACAATGACAATGAAAAAGAGGCACGCACAGAACCCAGCAATCAATAATTTTCGCTTGCTTAGTGACGAAGTTTCATCCGATTCTGCTGAGCCATTCAATTCCGTTTCCTGATCTCGGGTAGAACCAACATGGACCAATGGAGATGGCTTCGCTGGCTTCCGCTTGCCTTTCTCCCCGATTTCAGATGATTCTTTCGATTTCTGGATCTTTCCTTCTTCAACATCATCCTCCACCTCGATACTTTGTTGGTCACGACTGCTTTCGCCGTTTTCGTTATCGTTAAAGTCATCCTTAGCTTCTCCGTTTCCAGGAGATTCTTTTGGTTCCGACGCATTGTGTGTAATACCACTGTCTTCTAATACTTTTTCAAATTCAGGCGGCGGTTCCAAGTCTGAGAATTCAGATGAGCTGTCCTCCTCCCTTGTATCACCATTATCATCGCCTCTCATTTTTGCCGTTTTGTAGCGCTATAGGAAATAGGAGATGAACTATAAAACATATGAAATGCGTCATCATCTTGTAGGAGTCGCCAAAAACCTGAGTGAAGAACTTGGCGGATGAGTGGTGGTGTGTGTTGGTTGGAAAATATTTAAAAAAAAGATCTGAACGGAACGGGTCGTCCTCTTCTTCCGTCAGTTTCCATTTGGACCCGAAGAATAGAAACCGCGACCAAAGATTTTTATTTTATTATGGTGTTGGAAGTTTATCTTTTTCCTAGCGCGTGGACTTTCTGTGTAAAATTCAAATTAGGGGAGGGCTGGCGATGCGAAACAAATTTTGTACAGCATTTGATTTTGAAGTTTCTGTCAACTCCGGCCATGAGATACAGTACCTACTCAAAATACCATTGCGGCCAAAACATTCATTTTGAATTTTGTCAAACTTCTCATCTTCATCAACAACCATAAAGTTGTAGTACCACCCTCCAAGCTCAGCCTGTGGTCTCGTCAATAACACCATGGCCTCGGAACGATCTTCATCAAGTCACAGTGCCAGCAGTAATGTAAGAGAGCTGGACAGCAATGATCCAATGTCACCCAAACACAAACACATCTCTCCAAAACCAGTTGGTGATGGTTCCGTGAAAGTGGATGCCGTAAAGATACCGGCTCTTCCATCCGTGGACGACAGTGAGGAAGAATCAAACAATGATGATGAAAATGTCGAGAAGACAAAAGAAAATGCTGACACTGAAGAAGAAGAAGGGGAAGGGATTGAGGTTAGTGCCCATCTAGAATCACCACTGGCTCCTCCAATCCTTCGACCTTCCAAAGTGCGTCCTAGTGCCAGCAAAGCCAGTGAAAGAGTATCTTTCTCTGGAGGAGATTCCAAACCAGGTGCAGTGTCAGTCTCTAGTATTAGTGGTGCTAATGAAGCAGAAGAGCCACTTGGACAAACAGTGGACAAAGAGGGAGAGTCCACTCATAGTCCTCGCCGAGCTGCTCGTCCCAGTGCCAGCAAGGCCAACGAACGAATTTCTTCGGTGGCTAGCGACGAAGCATCCAGACCAGGTGCAACTTCCGTGGTTTCTCCTGTGGGACAAAGGAGAAGCAAAGCAGGGGCTGCAGCGGCTTCATTGCGACGAAACGTCACCGACGGAGACAATAATCGAGATAGCATCAATGAAGACTCGGTTGCTGGGTCGGTTTATTCCACGAGATCGGATCCATCGGAAGCCAAGCTTCGTTCCTCGGCCCTTCGAATGGCACCCGCTCTGGGTTCGGCGGAAATGTCGCTTCCAAGTTCCAGTCCCTCCAAAGAAGCGGCAATGTCACCCATGTCGGCCACAGAAGATGCTGCAGAAAAGGACGACGCCTATGCCGACGACGGCAAACCTACAGAGCGAGGTGTCGATGACTCGGATGGTGCCACCATGTTGACGGCGGAAGTGGCTCCCGATATCGATGAAATTGTCAACAATGCCGTCCAAAAAGCGGTCCAACAAACCCTGGAAGCCCAAAATCAAACCTCGCCCCGAGGCGTCAGTGTGGCGCAAGAAGTGATTGATCCGGAACGACAGCAGCCAGTAGAAGCAACTGCTACAGTCTACAACGGAAAACAAGGTGACGACGATGACGAGGAAGGAAAGATATTGGGGCTATCCAAGAAAATCTTTTGGATCATTGTGGTAGTAATCTTGCTCATTATCAGTATTGCTGTCGGTGTGGGAGTCTCCGCCTCGGGTGGTGGCGATGATACCGACAATGGCAGTCGGGAGATCCCAATCAATGACAACGTTGGCGAGCCGACGGCCACCAATACCCCAGTTGGGAGTGATCCGACCAATGTACCTTCCGAATCACCCTCTACAGCACCTTCTTCCATTCCATCTTTATCACCACTTTCGATTTATGCAGAAGTTCTTCTTCCAGGAGTTGAAGTGTCGACCATGGACCGGTCGTCCGCCGAGTACAAGGGATTGCGATTCATTGCCAGTGAAGACACTTTGGGGTTGGAGCCCACCAAGGATCCTCGACTATTGGAACGGTTTGCACTTACCGTTCTGTACTACTCGACCAATGGTGCTGGATGGACCGATAGTTTCCGATGGGTGACTGGTGCCGATCACTGCAACTGGTACCAAGTGAATTGCGATTCCGAAGACCGAGTTACCAAACTGGATGGTACCCTCAACAATGTCACTGGTTCTATCCCTACACAGATTGGAGATTTGATAAGATTGGAGGCTCTTTGGTTGGGGAACAACGGATTGGGTGGGGTATTGGTTTCAGAAATCGGGCAGTTAACCGCTCTGACGCAATTATCACTTTGGTCGAACAAATTTCGATCTAGCATTCCTACAGAAATTGGAAACCTATCGGCTCTACAGATCTTGTCATTTGCGACTAATGAATTGGTCGGTCCTATTCCTTCTGAAATTGGGCGATTGACAAATCTTGGAACAGTTCAGCTGAATACCAATAGTATCGACGGTCCGATTCCATCAGAAATTGGCTTTTTGACACTCCTTCGAGATTGGTCAGTCAACCGCAACATTATCAGTGGAACTTTACCAGGTGACGGTTTTGCAAAACTAACTGGCTTGCAAAACCTTCAGCTCTGGCAGAATGGAATCAGTGGAACCTTGCCGAGTGAATTTGCGCTCATGACAAGCCTCACAAGCCTAGGAATCTCAACCAACGCTTTGGTTGGCCCCATACCGAGTGAGCTTGGAAATCTTTCCAACATGGATACCATTTCGCTCTTTGGGAATTCTTTTTCATCGGCCATCCCGACAACGTTTGGAAATCTCATCAAACTTCGATATCTTGTGCTTGAAACGAATACATTGTCAGGTCCAGTACCTTCGGAACTTGGGAAACTGACAGGCTTGCTGGAGCTCAAAATGTTTGGGAATTCATTGACCGGGTAAGGAGCTTAGAATGGTATACTGAAATGGCGCACTCCGATTACGATTGCTTCTAACCCGCCTTTTTGCCCATCGTAGCACAATTCCTACTGAAATTGGGAACCTCCGAAGACTTACCTACTTTGGAGTGAGTGACAATATGCTGAATGGAACGATACCTTCTGAATTCCAAGGACTGGATAGCTTGACTGAAGCTTACTTTTACGGCAACGAGTTCACTTCTGGACTGGAAACCTTGTTTTGCGGAGCTGGATTGGAGGCTTTCTATGCGGATTGCAATGGATCACCTGCCGATCTGGATTGTGCCTGCTGCACCCATTGTTGCGAAAACAGCGTCAATGACTGTCAGATCAAACCTCCGACGGTGCTACCTCCCAGTTTGCCTCCAGCATTGGCTCCGACTATGTCGCCCACAAGATCCAGGATTTCCATCATGGCAGAAATTTTGCTTCCAGACACAAGTTTGACTTCGCCAACACTTGGCACCGATGAGTATAAAGCACTGAGATGGCTTGCGATGGACGATCCAAGACTGCTTCCTGCCGAAGACACGGTGCAATTGCGAGAACGCTTTGCCCTGATGCTGCTTTATTTTTCGACGAATGGTGATTCTAGTTGGAGTTCGAATACCAATTGGAAGACTGCCACCGATCATTGCCTGTGGAGATTTGTGCAGTGTACACTTGGTTCGGTTGAATATCTAGACATGACTGAAAACGGGCTTCGCGGAACATTGCCATCTCAAATTTCTTATCTTACCAACCTCCAGACCCTTTTCTTTGCCCAAAATACAATGAGAGGTACCCTCCCGTCGGAAATCGGTCTATTAACATCATTGAGGTCATTTCAGGTGTGGACGAACGAATTCTTCGGGTCCATCCCTTCCGAGATTGGATTACTCACTGGAGTAACAAACTTGGCTATCTTTGGCAACTTTTTTGAAGGTACAATCCCCGATGCATTGAGGAATCTTTCGAATCTGAACTTTTTGTCACTCCAGGAAAACGTTTTCGATTCAACAGTACCCACGTGGCTTGGCGAAATGACACAACTTGATGGACTTGGTTTGGGCGGCAATCTCTTCAGTGGTAAGTCATCGTCCGGGTCTTGAGTTGGGTCTTGTTCTTTTGCTTTGTTTTGATCTCATTGGATTGATTCGTTCATTCATTCTTCCCGCTGTCTTTATTAGGAACGATTCCAACGGAGCTTTCGCAATTGACCTTGCTCTCGACGCTGCAACTATGGGAGAATCAGCTCCAAGGAAGCATTCCAAGCGAGCTTTCGCAATTGACAAGCTTGACAAGTCTGGGTTTGTCGTCCAACTCGTAAGCACCATGCATGATGAGCAGATTCAGTTGAGCTCTTGCGCGCACCAGTATCTTACTTGAATTCTTTATTTTTGTAGGTTAAATGGAACAATCGCCCCGGAGTTTGGAAACCTTGTGAATGCTACTGAACTTCAATTCTGGCAGAATGAATTGACTGGAAGTGTGCCAAGTTCACTCTCAGCCCTCACCGGCTTGACGAGTCTCGGTTTGTCGTCCAACTCGTAAGTATCTTGCATGTGTCTAGCTAGCAGGCTCTTGAACACTTTTTGCCTCACGACCCATGTTCTTGAATTCTTTCGCGTAGGCTCACTGGAGCGCTTCCCAGTGAATTGGGAAGCCTCACGACTCTTTCCGACCTGTCAGTGTTCAACAATCAATTCACAGGTAAGAAATCGCAAGCTGGCTGGGCAAATGTTGCATTTTTGTCTGCTTCTCTTCTGACAATTTTATTGCTATTTGCCATTGCATTACTAGGCACCATCTCGAGCGAGTTTTCAAGGCTGACGAATCTGGAGAGCTTTGGTTTCTTCAATAATGATTTCAGCGGTAAGTCCTATGTTGAGTTCTAGCGTCTTTTTATTCCTTGGCTTTTTGCCTGGGCCTCATTCCATTCAATTGCTTGCCCAATAATCCAGGAACGATACCGTCCGAGTTGGGTCGCTTGAGTAATGTTATCTTCTTTGCTATTTCTGGCAATCCAGGCATTACAGGAACTGTGCCCAGCACCCTTCAAAACCTCAGTTTCGTAAATCAAGCCTACTTTCATGGTACCAGTTTGTCAGGAGGCTTGGAAGATCTTTATTGCAATTTTGGTTTGG